ATTTCGCATCTCCGATTATGGTGAAAATGTCCTAAAACGTAAATATAATACATAATTACAGAGATCAATTGATAATTGTTTTTCATTCTCCATCTCAACGTGTCATTTCTCATTTCGAATAGTGGTAAAAACAGCTCTTAAAAATCTAACTTTAGTTCTTAATTAAATTGATAGATTGAAAAATCTCTCTTTTGTAGTTTGTATCTCAAAGGCTTATTTTTCATTTTACATGATGGTGAAAATGCCCTAAAAATCTAAGCATATTTTATAATTAATTAGCGTGCAAAATCTTTTTTTGCTCTTCTTATCTTAATAATTCATTTCTCATTTCAAATGTTCGTGAAAATTTGTATAAATGTTTGTGCAATTGTTTTTGTCTTTTTTCTGATTCAAAGGTTCATTTGTCATTCGAAATGTTCGTTGATTAATTTATTATTAAGCTTACAGTCGACAATCTTTTTTTACGAATCGTTGCCATTGGGTAAATCGAAATGGAAGAACTTAGTTTGACTCGCTTGATAATGAGATCATGATGCTTTGGCATAGGCTTATATATTTATATGAAATTTAATGAATTTTAACGAAATGTTCTAACTGAATTAAATCGACTCCTAATGAAATTCTCAATTTTTACACATGAAATATTATTATTTCAATAAATGGATCATTGTTGTCTGTACATCGGATTCAGGAGTTTATCGAAAGTAGAATTTTTTCAACTACCTGATTTGAATTAATGACTGTATTAGTTGAATAGATATATTCAGTGTATTTTATATTTTGACAAAATTGTTAGAGCAGAAAATTTGTTACAACTGATATTTAAAACCAAGTGTAAAAAGAAAAGAAAAATGCTCCAGTTCTCAAATTGATGTATCCTTGTTTATGGGAAAAATTCAGAATACATTGATAAATTCAATTTTTCAAGGCGCACAAGAAACACAATAATATAGACTGAAGAACATTTGGAATTTATTCCCATTACTGAAGTTATGTTTTAAAGGTTCAATCGATTAAAGTAAGGTATAAGAATAAGAACTTTTACCTTAATCAATTTTTGTAGTAACATTCAATAAAAAATACTACAATTTAGTTGATATTTAAAGTATAGACAGAATTTGAGTAAATAATCACAAAAGTATAGTTCTTTTTTTAATAGCTTATATAATCGAACTTTTATGAAACGTCTGAAGAAGGAGTCAGCTAGGCACAAACAAGAAATAGAATAAAAACTTACTTGACTTATTATCAAAATTATGAAATAAATCTTGACTAAATAAACATATAACTTTTGATTTCAATTTTATTTCCTCTTTTGTTGCTTGATTAAATAAGGATATAATGTTTTTCAAGAGTTATATTGAATTTATTTTATAATTTTTTTATTTAACAAAGTCATGTTGTTTAATTTCGTTTGTATTTGGCTTATTATTTCTTAGTTGATAAAAGCTTTATATGTGGTAATGTTTCCTCTAATAGTAAAAGAATAATAACTTCTTATTAAAATTGTCAAGAATACATGAATGCATATGATCTTGATGAGATGAATCAATTTTAATTACAAATTTGAACAAAAATAAGACAAATGTGTATATTTTGTTTAAATAAACCTATATTATGAATTCGGTTCATTTAATGAATCCGACGTATGTCGGTTTGTATTAAGATTTGCATATATATATATGTCAGGAAAGCTTATTTTGTCAATATGTTCATTTATTAGCTTAATATTAGTGAAATTTTGTGAGATTACAATGTCTGAACTAAAACTGGAACTAGTAGATAAATCAATTATGATTATTTTGTTTTTAAAATAAACTTTTTGTACATAATTATCTTAAATGAAACTAATTAAAGACTTCTGAAGAAGACCAAAGGATAACTGTTGTAACTGATAATAAAAACGGTATAGCTGTACTAGAATGCGTTTCTATATTCAGACCCACACCCCCCATACCTACATCTTATGCCATAGCGACCGTGATCTTGTGTATATGCTTCTGTGGCATCCACATCGAGAGAAATGTGTCTATATGTACACCTACGGCACTTAAATCGAGAGAAGTGTATGCGTGTGTTTCCGCTTCATCCATCAATTTGAATAGTTGAATATTTGTATAGTTAAATACTCAATTCGTTGAATACTTGAATAGTTAAATGCACCCACAATTAAATATTTGAATAGTTAAATATTTGAAATTCAATTTTTCAAGTTTCATGTATTCAACAATTGAATTCAAATTTCAAGTTTGACATGTATGTTGTAATTCGATAATTGTATCATTGATGACAAGTAGAACATGACTACAAGTACGTGTTGTATAAGCATAAGTATATTTGTTTTATTTTCTAACTAAATCACTCAAATAAAAATAAGTTGATGTTCGGGACGATCTATTTTTCATGGTTTGTGGCAGACATATATCTCAGATGTACTAATATCATTATGCGGAATAGTAAAATTTACATCCTTTGCTACCTAAATCAGAAATCATGCATTTTTAATTGCGACAGATACTTTGTAATATATTTTCAACATCGAAATTTGTTGTGTAATTATACATAGTCCCAAGCTCTTCAACCATATAAGTTACTTTTATTTCTATGATAGGTGAGAAACAGCTAAACAAACAGGAAATAAGAGAAAATCACAGATGAACATCTGTTATTGAACATATCAACTCAGCGTCTTCTTCAAGATGCCATCGAAAACAGAAGAAAAAAGTTTCGTATCATAATTTCTAATGATACAGGCCTCGCAGCGTGTGTACTTTCCTGATTTTTTTAAAGTGTCCTGATTTTCCTGCTTTTGACTGAAAATCCTGATTTTGTCCTGATTTCTCAAGATTTATCTCTGTAGGACCACATATACGTCATTTTGATATTTTATTTTGCTATATTCAACGTTTCTTAAAAAATTTTATGAAAATATTTGTTGAATATTTTCTATAAAAAGAAAGATGGTACTCAAATTTTTATTTTGTCCATTTTTTTTCTTGTACTCACTTTAAGAATCGATTATTTCGAATTAATTGGTTTTTGAAAGCAGCTATTTTATCATTAGTAATTATCACCAGCACTTCGCGGTAATTATATCATACAGTTCACGACTGTGCATTGTTGCATTAAATCTTCTATTCCCCTATTTTAACATTTTAGTCGATTTACTAAAGTTTTCTTGTAAACGCTTTTATTCGTTTATCTATAACATGGTTGTTTTATATGTGCGAAGAGCAGGGATATGAAGAAGAGGAAAAGTAGCAGAGAGGAAAAGGAAGTGTGATGCAGAGAAATGGTTTGAGTGCCGAGAAGATGGTTATAGAACCTTAAAAACTGCGAAAATGCGGATTTTTCTTATTTCTTCTCACGGCTATTTTCCTGATAAAAATGCGATTTTGACTAGAAACAAATAAGACTCCAATAGTAAAGGATCCTCCTTCCGTAGGCCACGTATCTGAGAAAAAGAAAATGTATACACAATGCATAATTAGAGATAGCAAACGAAAAGGAAAAAAGCAGAACTCGAAGCACGTATTCGGCGAACTATATAGTAATTTCAATGAACTATCACTGATTGACATACTTTTGTGCAGCTTTCATCCTGAACAATAGTACTATGATAAGACTTAAAATGCCCTGATTTTAATCGAAATTCCTGATTTTTTTCTAAAATGTGTCCTGCCTATTTTCCTGATTTTCAGACATACACCGCTGCGACTCCTGATGATATCAACGAGCTAAAACATATTTTTTATTGTATTCTATATCCAATTCACTTCATTCTTATACGAGGCTAATTGATTTAGCGATTATGTCATGTAAGAGATAATCACATCATACTGTAAATCTGTCATTTTTATGCAAATTCTAGACATCGGCAAGAAAAAAAACATGTTTCAACGTATGGACAAAGATGGCTTTCTAGAAATTCACGCTACCTACGCTGGCAAGAACATGATTGTTGAATGACACTTACATAGATCTGACTGAATATTTAGATATGCTACCCACTTTATGCATGTCAGCAAAGTCTTGATTCGAAAAAATTAGGCAAATGTTTAGTTAAAGTTAAACAATAACCTTTATAATTCAATTTTTCATACCGAAATAGACATGAACAAATATTTTATTTATCTGGTCTCAGCACCAGTTGATGGATCTAAAACACAATGTGTAGCTTTAGAATAATTGTCAACAATTCAGAAGACATTGAAGATGTACAAGGCATAAAATTGCGTCAAATTTCTGCAATTACACTGTTCGGTTACACAATAGAAAATGCAAGGTTTAGAAAGCTAACTCTTAAAAATAACTATTTGTACGTATATTGAGTTTAATAAATTAGTTCCGGTCCCGAACACCTCTCAGCTGAGCACGAATGTGTTCAAAGAATACAATTAAAGTAAAATTGCTTCTACATCCATAAAATGGTGTTAGTTGAAAAACTGCAAACGAAACAATGAAGATGTTTTTCACAAATTTATTGTGCTTTAAGAATCAAATCAACTCAAGTATCTTGAAAATAAATTTTCAAAACTATTGAATAACTATTCTTCCTTGATAAAGCTCCTTGAAACATGTTAATGTTCTCGAACGATATAAACGAGCAAATGCCTTTTAGTTCAACCCTCCATAAGAGACTTTGAAGAATTTCTCTCATTGTGTTGGTAGTATTTTATTCAATTTTTCATCAATAGATTCATTGCAGCAGTAAAGAAGACATGTTTTGATGTTGCTCGTTTCAGGTAATGTTCAATATATGGATATTTCTTTATTTCTTTAGATAGGCCAAAATATAACAATGAATTGACTTAATCAAACGAAATGCCAATTTCAATATGAAGAGCTGGTATGTCATAAAGAATAAAACAATTTGTTTTTCATGATTTCTTCAATTAAGTTTTGTTGTAGAGTCCTATTTTTAGTGTCAAAAAATCATGTTTTAATTCTTCATCGGCTGTTGATAAAGAGAAAGTACACACTCACATCCCTATATTCACTCACATTTCGCGAGAAGAACAATTGAAAACTACTCTACAATACGAGCCAACTTTCACGGTTTTAGGTGGCTGTGCATATTCGTAGATATCGTGGCAACGTTCGATTTGTCTATGCGAGCCATCGTATTTAAATAATTTTTGGTATGGCTCTGTTCGTCGTCGATTGGCTAATGCCGAAAATCCACTAGCTGTCAAAATACTTGTATCACATTCCCCCAAGACATAAAAATCGATAACTACTTTAAGAAATCCATGAAGGAGATGAATTCTATTAGCTGGACGATCGACATGAATGATTGGACCAGGTATTGTTACAGTTTGACTTGGAAATTGGTGAACTATTTTTGACAATGCTTGGTCAGAATCACTCGTGACAAAAACTCTTGTATTTCGCATTTTTTGTAATTTCGTTCTATTCAAAAAATTTATTATATCTTCGACGGCTGAAGCTCGATCTCCGAAACTAGCATCCAATGGATTGGATGGGTTTTGTCCCATACGCAAGTGTATACAAGTGAGCGTGTACCCATTTTCAATATCTTGAAAAATAGGTTGTAATGCATTGATAATTTCAAGACTTGGTTGAAATAAAATTTCAAATAAGAAAGGAAATAAACTATGCAAAGTCAGTTTTTCTAAAGGTACATTGAGCAAAAACATATCAATTATTGTATTGTTTCGAATACGAGGATTTCGAAATATGTCAGAAACTAAATCCAAATTTGTATATATTTCAATGTCATCATATTTTGCCCAAGTGTCCATGAATGCTTGATTTCGAATTTGATTCTCAAAGTTAGATTCACTATCAATAGCATGAATGACTATGCGAGAAGAATTCATATTCGACGTATTATTGTCAAATGTCCAGTTGTAGATATTAGGTAATAAGTAATTTTTGACATCAACTGGATGAGTCATATCAATCATAAATTGACGATTAGAAACCAGTGCTAGAATAAAACACGTGCTTATTCCACGAAGCCGATCGCCCAAGCCACCACAAAACGATTTACATTTATAGATAAGCTTTGATTCGTTATAATTGCGAAGTCTAGTCCACAAAGAACTTATATTGATAGAATGGTAATTATCTTGCAATTGTAGCCATCTGAGTCTATTCCTTCGCATAAACTTCGATTCTAAGGAAATGGATGCGTTAGAAGAGACAACTTTACGATAAAATTTGAGTGATAATAGTTCAATTGGTCTTGATCCATATAAAAATATCAAAATACTTGCAGTTAATATGACTACGAAACAGCACGATTTCGACATTTTTGAAACAAATGCTATTTCCATGATCTATAATTACACAAAAAGATGTCAAGGATCTTTACGGAGTAAGCTCAAACAAACTCTCTTTAGGGTGAAGAGACTGTATAATTCGTTCTATAGCAGTAGACACGGCATGCCAAATGTAATGTAGCAAATCTAATGTTATGAAGCATCAATACTACAGAGTTTTCAGACAATTATGTTACTTGTGTGTGCTGTCCATCACATCATATGTTCACATGGTCTTGTGTAAATGTCATTGAATGTTGGTCAGAGAAATCATGAATTATCCTTTCGTGTTGCATATGACTAAGAAGTTCTCGCTGCATCTTTTCTTACATAAGAATTTTTGATGAACAATAATATTCGACTGCAAATCAGAGCAACAATAAAAATACTCATAAAAACGCGTCGAAATTTTAACAAAAATAAAACTATCAAAATGTGTGATTTTTACGATTTTAGTTTCATTTAAGAAGTTTAATGCGTTTTTACGCATTCGGTTTTTGAATAGAGTGCATCTCTATCGAGAAAATTCATATTTTATAGATTGGAGCTGGTTGAAGTACCGTTTAAGTGAATCTTTAGTTATTTCAATCTTGTTACCATCTGGTAACAAATAACTTATTAGTTTAATTTTGATTCATTGAAACCTATATCAAATTTAGAATTGCTTTAGGTATTAAATTTGATATACATTTTTATAAGTTAAAACCAAATTAATCAGTCACTTCTTACAAGATGGTAACACGATTGAACCGGTATAAGACTTATCTAAATTATCCTTCAAGCCAACCGAATCTATGAAATATGATTGTCCGCTCTGGAAAGACACTCAATTCAAAAATCGAACGTTTAATAACATGTAATGGTATAGGATAAAAGGTATTCTAATTATAAGAAGTTCCTCTAATTACTACGCTTTTTGCGAAAGCGCCATGTATAAAGATTCATTACATTGATTTCGGGCCATTTTGAGTTTTATTATATTTTAAAGATATACTAAGTTAGGCAGACAGACAAAAATATACATTTGTAACATCTACGGTCTCATCCAAGGTTTACTATTCTTCATTAACATCATTATTAAGTGAGTTTTTAGAAAACATGGTAAATTTGTTCAAAAATTTACTTTCTACTCTTTTTTATTAAATTTTACTCTTTAACATAAATTCTTTATTTGTGTTCAACTTTATATATTCGAAAAATACAAAAAAAAATCAAAATGGACCGAAAACTTATTAATGATATCTAACTATGGCTGTTTGTTTCTTCCGAGAATAATTCGAATTATAATGTAAATGTGCCTCCAACAGCATTAGATAAATTTGAAAATAGATGAAAAAAAATCACGCCAGCACTTGCCTCTCGCAGAAAAAAAAATGAATTATAAATGAAATAGAGCTGTCATTTAACTATGACAGAAAGGCAGAAAAAAGTTATTCGGATTTTAATTTATAAACAAGATAGGACTACTCTATAGGGAGAGCAACAAAGCAGAAATGAAATCTTTTCACTATATTTTTGATTCAGTTATTAATGTTGGTGTAGTCATTGTCATCTCATCGGCTTTTCATTTTTTTCATAACTGAAAGCCGTCAACCTCAAAACTGTTTCAAGAAAAGCACTTTTCACCACCTAATGGACCGTTTATTTCAGCGTCGTGGTTCATGCTCGCCTTTGTGTACATGGTAATTTCAACAGTCATAGGATAGTCCTATCTCATTTATCAATTATAATTTTGAAATAATCTTTTTCTGCCAACAGGAGCCCTAATATTTTTTTTCAAGATTCTCATTTATAGTCGAACTCGACTTAGGCAGCTACTCGCTAACTGATATTAGAGAAATAAAACTCATAGAAATACACTTTTTTGATTTCAAAGTTGTCACCATAAAAATTATATTTTTATTTGCTTATCTGATAAGGAAATATTATCTTGAACACGCTGTAAAATTCTCTTGCTATTGATTGTAAAAATAGTAATCAAATCACAGAACTAACAGAAAATATCAAGTAATGCATAATATGAAAAAGTGTGTGGGTGTGGGTGTGGGGTGTTGATACCTTCGTTTTCCTTACTCACACTCACACCAACACCCACACCCTCATATATTTTATTTAGTTTTTTTTTCTATCCCAAACTGATCTGTAGTTCCCAGAACTGTATTTTGAAAAACTTCTCTCCCTAGTCGCCTACATATCAGTTGTGAACAGGAAAATTTTCAATAAAATATACGAGTTTCTATGCAGTTTTTCACGCTGTCTTCGAATATCGCATCTATTGTGCTTTACAACTGTATCATGGCAACGAAAACAGCTAAAAATGTCACTTTTTTATTGAAAAATCATCAAAAACTATTAGAAATTATGAAAATACGACCTCCGCTTTGATCCATACGCACCATTTTTTTTCGAATATTTTTTTACCATTTTTGTAGAGAATAAAATATTGCATAACATATATAAAACTCAGCTTGGAACTCTCTCATTCTGAAACACAATAGGAGATGCATTGTGTTAAGATGGACGTTTGAGACTTAAAAAAAAGAGACCGTTTTGACTAATGCTGGCATTACAAAACCTGAGGTGATAGATATGATAACATATCTAAGTAGCTTATTTTGTTCAGCTTCTAATTCTCTATCTTCTAGTATATTGCATAAAAATTTCAATGATCTGTTGAGGCGTAATCTGGTACAATTTTAATAGAGTATTGTTCAGTCTTATTTTTGTAATGGAGCGATGACAGTACTAAAAGTCGGTCTTGACTAAGTTTTCAAAGGAAAGGTACTCTAAGATAAAAGTTCGGAGTTTGTGATTTCGAACATTTAAACAGTAAATGAGCAAAAAAAATAAAAATGTTTTTATCCAATACGTTGCATATGGGCATGATACTCGACGGTCTCGCGAATCCTCGCGTAAAAATGTAGGCAGTTTATCCTTGTATCACAGTTACACTTGTTTTTTCTTTTAATAATGTTTACCTTTAATATATTCAAGCTTACATTAGTTTTTTTGTTCTTTTCATTTGAAAATCTTCACAATTTCCAATGGTTATTCATGTCGAACCAAGAATATAATAATTTCAATCACTCTACGAAAAGCCCATCCTCAAGTAAGCAACAGGTTCTTAATGTGATAAGAGTATTAATAATGCATCCAACATCTTTTCCTACTCAACTGATGACGAGTTTCTCGATAATATGGAAATAATCACAAGTAAAAGAAAAAATGCTCGCAAATTTCTATGATCACACAAATATCAGAAACATGCTAGGAAAAATGTAACGATAACTAGGCTACATAGTAAGTAGATCAAAATAAAATTTGAACTTTAAGAAAAATAATACATAAATGACATAAAGGTAAATCCGTGGAGTTCCTACCACTTTTGTGGAAAAAAATTTTTTATTTTATTTTTATAGTCTAGTTAGACGGAACGTCGTCGAAAACGGTCTGAGATACCAATTAAAATGTCTTTCAACGTTAAAAGTATGGAGATTCAGATCATTTTTTAGGAACACATCAACAAATGCAAGCTGCGAGTAATTCAGAAAGTTTTTTCTTTGATATTTTTACATGATACGATAGAGCTCGTCAAGCTCTACAAAACTGTATAGACTAAAAAGATTTTAAACCATTTTTTTGAGACAAAAATTTCAAAAAACTACTTCGAGAATGTCAAAAAAAGCGTATTTTTATATGGTAGAAAAGCACTCGATTTTTTCAATAAATTTAGCTTTTCTCATTATTTTGACTTTCTAAGACGTTTGAAAACATGCTTATTCGGTGCAGCGTGAAAAACTGAATCAGATGAGCATGTTTCCAAACGTCTTAGAAAATCAAAATAATGAGAAAAGCTAAGTTTATTGAAAAAATCAAGTGTTTTTCTTTCATATAAAAAACACCCTTTTTCGACGTTCTCGAAGTAGTTTTTTTGAAATTTTTGTCGAAAAAAATTGTTTAAAATTTTTTTAGTATATACAGTTTTGTAGAGCTTGACGAGCTCTATCGTATCATGTAAAAATATCAAAGAAAGAACTTGCTGAATTACTCGCAGCTTGCATTTGTTGATGTGTTCCTAAAACATGATCTGAATCTCCATACTTTTAACGTTGAAAGACATTTTAATTGGTATCTCAGACCGTTTTCGATGACGTTCCGTCTAACTAGACTATAAAAATAAAATAAAAAAATTGTTTTCCACAAAGTGGTCGAAACCCGGCGGATTCACCCATAAGCGATCAGAATAAAGATCCTGAAATGCATCAAATCTCAATTGACAACTCTGTTTAGATGCGTTGACTTGCATTAAAAAAACCGAAAATAATCAGTTATTCGTGAACGTAGTCGAAGCAGTTCAAGAAATAAAGCGCAAAACATGTTTTCTTAACTGATCTTTAAGTATTAATAGGCGTTGTCATCTTTAAACATGGTAAAAATCGTAGAATTCTCTCAGTACATGGATAAACACGCGTAGATCT